TTCACATCAACTAAAACTTGAAAAGTGCAGTACATCAGACACGTGTTTGCTGTACTACACAGGGAAACAAGGGAAGTGTTGCTGTGGAGACACAATGATGGCACATTACACAACCTGGAGGAAACAGGATCACAGCACACAACCCTGGCAAACCCCTAGGAAATGCTGGATCAAACTGTAGACACGTGCACTACTGGAAGGGTCCTGGAAACTATGCAGCTCACCATGAGCAAAACGAAACAAAAAAGCCAACCAACTTAGCAGTCTGGCATTTCAGGAACGGGTGGGAAGACTGAATTATTTACAAGGAAATTTTTTTAACATTAAAATTCAATATAAGATTAGATACAGACTCCAAGGAGAAACAAAGCCATTTGACAGATCTTTTAGGCCTACAGTTAAAAATAGAGGATCAACATGATAAACACTGAATGAGACCCTTCCTGCTTGCAATTTTTCTCCATGCAGCTGGTTTTGATTCTTATACATTTCTCTTAATCAAACTTGTAAGAGCATTTTGCAGTGACATTTTTGTGAAACTTTTCACATAATCTGCCTTTTTTATTTTTTGAAGTGCCTGGCATTCCTTGGCTCACAGCTAACTATGTGTTATAAAGGCAGCTGGCTGCATGTACAGCCATCTGTTAATATTTCTCTTCTTCCTACAGCTAAAAGGATTTACAGCCTGAGGGCTGTAACAGAACACATCACCGTAGCTTGTAGGCCCTGCAAAATAAAAGGGCACACAAGTGAGTTTGACCACCAAAAACATCACACTGCTGCAACTGCTCCCTTCAAAGCCAGCAAGACCTCTGCAGGTTGCTCGTACAGCCTGGGAGAGTTGGGGCTGTTCAGCCTGGAGCAGAGAAGGCTCCAGGGTGATCTTATAGCAGCCTTCCAGTACTTAAAGGGGGCCGACAGGAAAGCTGGAGAGGGACTTTTTACAAGGGTGTGTAGTGATAGAACAAGGGGAAATGGATTTAAACTGAAAGAGGGCAGATCTAGATTAGATATAAGGAAAAAAGTCTTCACTCTGAGGGTGGGGAGGCACTGGAACAGGTTTTCCAGAGAAGCTGTGGCTGTCCCATCCCTGGGAAGGGTTCAAGGCCAGGTTGGATGAGGCTTTGGGCAACCCAGTGTAGTGGAGGGTGTCCCTGCCCATGGCAGGGGGGTTGGAACTAGATGATCTTTGAGGTCCCTTCCAACCCAAACCATTCTATGATTCTATGATTCCACCACCCAGGTGGGGAACTGGGTCCATCTTCCTGTGTCACTGCTCACTCAGCAGTGTGGTTCAGTGGGGAATTCAATGCGTGCGCTGCTGGTGCGCGAGGGCCGGCAGACAGCTATTTTTGCTGGGACTCCACACAAAGAGCCCTGTGGTATGCAGTCATCACTCCTGCCAACACAAACAGCACGTCCGTCCTCCGTCACAACACTTGAGTTTGTGGCAACAAACCCCAGCAGCTGAACTCACATCATCCTGCCAGAAGAGGCATGTCTTGGTCTCTTAAAAGTAAGGAAAATGACCTTTAAATATCTCCAGGGGTTGCACTCACCCAGATTTTTTTGCTGGAGTGCTCTTATACACAGTCATACTTGAGGATACCAGTCAGAGAAGCAGAAGGAAGCCAGCAGATAGGTTGGGACTAGAGACACACCTGCAGGGGACTTCAGAGAACGCAGGCTGAGAAAGGGAATAGTTCTCTCCTTTTATCTCTTTCCTCACAAAGTTAATGTTGGTGACCAAGTCATCAACATAATGACAATACCCATACATCAGACTTGGACCTCATCGGAAAAACTGTGTAGCTGTACTTTAAATGCAGTTCCAATTAAAGGCAAAATACGATCTCATGCATTGGACAAAGAAGTTTGATGTTTCTTTTTAAAAAGTACAGTTTATATATATTCTGTGTGATACACCAGAAGCAGTTTAAAAAAATATTACTAGCTCTGTCTCTCAGGCTGTTTAGCCAACATACAGATTTTGGCTTTACCAGTTCAGCTGAGACACACATATGCCAACTTATCTACCACTGCTGTTCTGGATCCTGGATGCCTCTTGAAATTCAAACCTCTAAAGAGTTTTTGGAATCAAAATACATGTGCTCTAAGCAGTTCCCACAAAGGCAAATACCTTTACGAAGAGAAACAAGATGCTGCACATGAGGCTTTGTGAAGGATAGGATTTTCTAGTGTCTAATGTATACAGATGCATACATCTTGTTGGTTTATGCCCCTAAATTGCTTTATGTGCTCCTGAAAAGTTTTCCAGCTATCTTAAGGCAATGCTTTAAAGTCTTATTGGCAGAAGACAGGGAAAAGACCTCATTACTGACCATAATTAATATCTGGAGTTAAGCAATCGCTATTTGTAAGGCAGCAGGCAAAAGTAAAATCATAGTCCTCATCTCACATTAATTTCTGTCTTAGCCAAAGATAAACATCAACTGTTCATTGATAAAGGACAGAAGAAAGTCTTGGAAGAAAGACTAGAGCAACAACATGGATAAAAAGACTTGTCATTCTGGCTCAGCAGAAAACAAAAAGCTGGCAAAAACATGAGGGCATGAGACACATTCTCCCTCCTCCTCCATAGAAGAGGAAGGAGCCACTGTGTTCCAGATTACAGAATAAATTGATTTCAGCTAAACACATTCACAGTCTTTCCCATAACTGAAGTTATGTTACCACATGGAGAGCGAGACAAAAATCCTTCAATTAATCTGGTATTTATCATTGGTATTTGCTATTAAATCAGTGTTAACAGAGAGACAATACATAAGAGGAAGAAGAGACAACACAACTGTATCTTAAAAAACTATTTGCTGTCCATCTGCAGTCAAACTTTAATTTGCTTGCTGCATCATTTTCTCCAAAAGTAAAAATTCTAAAAACTGCAATTAAAAACTGAAATATGACTAAATAGCTTGTTTCCTCTCACACTGAAAGGGCTGCAGGTGGCTGCTGGCAGTGAAATTTGACTAGAGCTGTTTGTTCTTCAGCTAAAATGCCCAGATTATCTGCACAAAGATCTTGTCTTTACAAGTCTGCACACAGATCAGAACGATAATCTAATGACTGGATTACAAGCAATTTCCTTCCTAGACTACTTTGTGAAAATACACACAAGAATGCCAAACTACATATATTTGGCAAATTTTGTGGAAGGTGACCAAAAATAAAATCACGTAAAATCAGAATTCCACATTTACATAACTCTGAAGATTAATCAATTATTTGCTGCTTACATTCAGAAGTATGCTGTTGCTATCATGATTAGACAGCACCATGTCCCTGCACTTTATAAGGTAGATTCCACCATGACAACTGTGATTCAAAACGCATTAGCTAAAACACACTACAAAAATATTTTTTATTTATACAGTAGCCTCTATCCAGAAGCCCTTTGTACAGAAGAAGACAAACAGCTATCTTTACTATGGACAAAAGTGGTCAATAGAGGCACAGACCACTCCACAGAAGAGAGAAATTTTGTAAAGGCATGTACTCAGGCAACCTGCTACTCGGACAATACCTGTGGCAGGCTCTCTGGCATTCACACAATCAAGAAAAACAGAATTTTCACCACTCTCACCCCTCTCTGAAAATCTCTTGCCAAAAAAACCCCAACCAAACAACAAAACAAGACACACAGCTCAAAGGATTTCTGTCACAGAGAAGGGGCTGACACATGCTACCTAGACTTGAGGAAAGCCTCAGCAAGGGGCACTCTGTGCCATCTCTAACAGAGCAAAGAAGCATAGCAGGGCTGGGAGCAACAGACACAGCCAAGAGGTCTGTGTGACGGTGGCCACAAGGCAACAGCAAACTCACAAGGGACCTACACGGTCCAAGAGACTCATGTCAGTAAGCTGGTCAGATTTTCCACTTCCTCCTAATCATGACTTCTTCCTGCCACAGACCCCTTAAGATTTTTCTTCTCCCTCCCTCTGACATATCAGTATCTGCCCAGCTGACCTTCTCCTGACAACAAGCTATCATTTCCTCTTGGTAGCAAGAAGGCTGCAAGCAGGCAGATATGTTACAAACAACTTTGAGAAATCTGTCATCACAGGTTTTGATTAGTGTCAGTTAACTGGGCATACCAGGTACAGGGGTAAAGCAAAAATCAACCAGTTCTCCAAATGGAGACTGGCATAAACATTTGCTACTACACTGCACGGTGATTTTTAGGCCAAATTTCAGTACAACCACTGTTTGACCAGAGCAGCTGGTTTGAAAGGGGGAGAAGAAACAGAATTTAGAGAGGTTATCAGTGCTTGAGAACACTGTGTATCTCAAACTGTATCAGGTACTCACCTGCTCGGTCATACAGGATGTGAGACCGCTGTAGCCCTTCCTTTACGTGGTCTTCTGTTATCAGAATGCCCTCTGCAGAACCACCCTGGCTAACACTCAAAGGAGTGGTCTTCCCCACTGCTAGCCTGGCCTGAACTGCTAACTGGAGCCCGTTCAGTGCAGTCCTTGCATCGCCATCGCAGAGGTAGGCCAGGGTGTTCAGGGCTTTCTCTTCTACATACACTGGTAACCTGCAACAGAACAACCACACACCGTCAGCCCCCGCCACGCTCCTCTCCTTGCATGTTATGCTGGAGGTGGCATTTCTTTACCAAGTTTGTTGAGCCGGGTTTAAGTTTTGTTCTTAACTCATTCTGTCAAGGTTAAGCATTGCAGACCCAACCCCTCTTCCTCCTGCCCCACTGCATGCTCAACAGTTTCACATGAAAAAGGTAGGGCAGGAGCTCTCATCTATGTATCTTATCATCTCTTACTTTTCTCCTCTCATTAAGTCTATTGGAAACTAGTGTTAGGGTTTTGCCAGAGCACAATTTTGGCACAGCCACTTAAACTTCACAAGGTATTACTCCATCAGCATCTTTCATAGCTAGTACTTCAAATTCCTCATTGGAGGGACAGTGAAAAGGCAGGAAGCTATCCAAACGCACACGAGAGAATATAGTGAGGTATAAAGTTCAAAACCTTACGCTAATTACTAACTACCAACAGCAAGGGCTGCTATCAGATGTTCTTTAAAAAGCAACAACTAGAAGGACTGTTTACATTGTAAAGCATACCTGCATCCTCGATTTTTTTTTAAATGGTTAACAGGTATTTCAACTTAGTAACTGGGGTACAAAGCGCATCTTACTAGAAAGAAAAGGCATCCCAGTGCATGCCAGTCGCTGTTCTTGTCATCTGCTACTCATAAGTGTGCCAGGACTACACAAAACATGAAAAAGCTCCAAATTCCAGTGAACACACAATCTAAATGAACAAGACAAAGAGCTGAGAAATGCAGCAGCAGGTGAAGGATCTCCCAAGATGTCAATAGCAAGTCTATGGAAAATCTGGGAAATTAACAAAGTCCTCGAGCTCTTTCTCAAGGTTTTCATCTGCTGGACTTCAGTTCCCTCTGTCAGGGCATGGGCAAACCAACCCATCTCTCCACATTTCAGATGGATACTGCTGAGCATTTGACCCTCAAACTTTTATTATGTAGATCAGGTAATGACGAAGGTGTTCGCCAGGCAGAGGGTACTACTGGTTTGATTTGAAAACAGCAGCTAGTGGAGTTAAAGCACAGCATTAAGTAGTGGCCCTAACTTAGTCATTTCCAGTAACTGGACAGAAAATCAAGAGTGACATATGTCAGCAGGGATTAATGCACAGAGCTTGGCATGAGAAGCAATTTCATATGAAGCTCTTGTGTGCCAAATAATTAAGGATTCACAACAGCCCTGCACTTCATTCACCAGGAAGATTTATTACTGTTCTTACCAGCAGCGTACAAAAAGGCAACACCAGGGTTCCCACACACACATATATCAACTAATTCTCATTACTTGCCTCCTCTTCCTCCTTGTAAACCCACTTTGTACTTGTCACACAAAAGAAAAAAACAGTAGGTACTGGAAAAACTTCAACAGTCCGTATTTGAGCCCTCTCATGCCCATACATAAGAGGGGAAAACTTGTAGAGCTGCAGTCTTAATCCACACCACTGCAAGTGAAGGCCAACAAATGTCTTTTAGGGCCATGATCCATGCTACAGAGAGCAGGCAGCA